ATTGATTTTCGAAAGCTAAATTCCAAGACGATTAAAGATGCCTACGCATTGCCCAGAATATACGAAGCTTTGGAAGCAATGGCAGGATGTTCATGGTTTACGGTTTTAGATCTGAAGATTGATCGAAGAAGATCGAGATTGATGAGCAAGACAGGCCAAAGACTGCATTTACAGTAGGTCCCCTTGGATTTTGCRAGTGTAATCGTATGGCCTTCGGCCTCACTAACGCCCCTGCGATCTTTCAAAGGTTAATGGAACACTGCCTGGCAGATCTAAATGTCAAGAAGTGCATACTCTACATAGATGACATAATCGTCTATGCCAAAACTTTTGAGTAACGTCTGGAAAGGCTAGAAGCTGTGTTTTCCAAACTCGAACAATTTGGATTGAAGTTGAAGCTTTCGAAGTGCGCTTTCTCCAAGGATAAAGTAAAATATCTTGGCCACATTATCTCTGCTAATGGTATCCMAACGGACCCAGAGAAAATTGATGCAATCAAGACTTGGCCTGTGCCAAACAACTTGGACCAATTAAGAACGTTTCTGGGATTTACAGGCTATTACAGGAAGTTSGTGGCGGGTTACGCTAAGCTGGYCAAACCTCTTAATGATTTAACCACGCGTTTGCTCAAGYCCATKAACAAGAATGGAGGTAAGGGTGACGAAGCCAAATGGGAGTGGTCAAGGGAGTGCCAGTCTGCATTTGATGGGGTCGTCAAGATCTTATTGTCACTTGTAGTACTCAYCTATCMAGATTTCCAACTGCCATTCTTAGTCAACATCGATGCAAGCGGYGAAGGTCTTGGCGCGCGTTAAGCCAGGTTCAAGATGGCATGGTAAAGGTCATCGCATACGCCAGTAGTGTTCTTCGCAGATCAGAGAAAAACTATCCTGCCCATAAGTTGGAGTTTCTTGCGCTAAAATRAACAGTGACTGACAAGTTCCACGACTACCTCTATGGCCACCGTTTTACCGTRCGTACCGATAACAACCCTTTGACATATGTTGCTAYGACAGCAAAACTGGATGCCACGGGACATCGTTGGATGGCTGCACTTTCAACATACAACTTTGATATTGTGTATCGAGCWGGGAAAATGAATCAGGATGCAGACGCGCTGTCTCGAAAGCCTAATGATGAGGACTCACAAAAAGACCAAATTGTAACGAAAGAAGCCTTTTTAGCCTTCTCGAGCACAATGACAAAAGCGAGCAAAAAAAAAAAAAAAACGAAGAAGGTAAAGCCACTCTTTTTGAAACGTTTTGCAATAGTGAAGTTGGGGTTGACGCTGCTATGGAAACTTGTGGAATTGGAGATGAATCCGTTTGACCGTCGCTACCAGTCGAGGAGCTAAGATCCTATCAAGAAGAAGACCCTKGGGTTGGAAAAGTTATTGTGTATTTCAAGCGTGACAAGAGGCCAAACAGGAATGACACTAGAAATGAGGAAAGGAGTGTTACAGTTCCTTATGGAATGGGATCGACTTCGCTTGGTTCGAGGAGTTTTGTACCGTTATCGTAAAGACGACAACCGCTCACACGTTGCCCCTCAGTTGGTATTCCCAGACGTTTTAAAAGGCAAAGCCTTTAAGGGTATCCATGACGATATGGGACACTTTGGTGTCGAACGAACTCTCGAGGTAGCGAGGTCAAGATTCTTTTGGCTAGGGATGTCGAAAGAGATAGCGCAGATGGTCAAATCCTGTAAAGCTTGTGTTATTCGCAGATCTCCACAACCACAGCAGGTTTCTTCTCCAGTACCAATTATGTCCGCTGCGCCAATGGAATTAGTATGCATAGACTACCTCAAGCTGGACAARTCAACCGGCGGCTACGAAAACATCTTAGTCGTTACTGATCACTTTACCACACAGCACAGGCTATACCAACGTTAAATCAAACTGCCAAAACTACAGCTCGTGTTTTATTTTACAATTTTATTGTCCACTACGGCTTTCCAGAGAAACTTCACAGTGATCAAGGGAGAAATTTTGAGTCTCAAATTATCAAGGAATTATGTTAGTTGGMCAACGTAACCAAATCAAGAACTACTCCCTACCATCCCATGGGCAATGGAATGTGTGAAAGATTCAATAGAACACTGCTGCACATGCTTGGTACACTTGGAGAGGAAGAGAAGAGAAGCTGGAAAGATTCTGTAGCACCGGTAGTACATGCGTATAATGCAACAAAGCACGATGCAACTGGCCAGTCCCCATTCTTCTTGATGTTCGGTCGACATCCAAGACTAGCCATAGACGTCTTCCTAGGCCTGAATCCGAATGAAAGTGGTAGTCGAGAAGGTACATCCAAATTCATCAACGACCTACGACAGCGCTTAAGGCATGCGTATGATTTAGCCAGTYGCAATTCAAATCTTGCTTCTAAGMGCAACAAGACGTCCATGTACGACCGTAAGCCAAGATTAAATAGAATCGAGCCCAGTGATAGAGTCTTAGTGAGAAACCTGACCCCACGCGGGAAACTTGATAACTATTGGGAAGACAAGATTTACCTAGTCGTTTCCATGCCTAATCCAGATATACCAGTCTATTGCGTTCAGCCTGAAGATGGAAAAGGGCGTACGAGGACGCYKCATCGAAATCACCTCTTACCTTGCCCAGCAATTGACTTAATGCCTACAGAACATGATATCGAGGACAAGAGAAACCCTAAGCCGAAACAAGGGACAAGACGACAACGCAGAAAACCGGCCTGGATGACAAATTCAGAATGGRTTATTGATTCACATCAGCAGAAAGGGSTAAACTGAATAGCAACTTCGACTTGCACTGTCCCGGTCCTGAGGAATTCACAAACACCACAGCCGTAAACCCCCTGCCCCTGGTGTAAGATGAGYGTGCGGGGGTGTTATTGTTATTAGGTTCCCGAGGGATTTCCTATGCCTATTTAAGAGTTGGGTTGGGCGTGAATTCTTGGAGTTGAGCTTGGAAGTAGTTYGAAAAGGAAGACAACCCCTTCACGACGACAAGACTATTCCTAAAAGTTGTGTGGAATAAATAAAGTCGTTACACCTCGATAGAAAATTATCGTCCTATCACAGTAATACCAGTCCTTGGAAAGGTATTATTCAAACAGGTATTGTGCAAACAAATAACTACGTGCTATTTAGCAGTTATTTGTAAATAGCTTTGTAAATCTTTAAGAATTCGGTTGTTTTCAACCAATTGTCGTATG